ACTATAAAAATGCCCTAGAAAGCTATAATAATTCTATAAAAATATAAATTATCAAAAACTTATCTTAGAGTATTGATCCTTCATAGTTTTAAGCCTAATTTTACATTTCAAAATCCATTGAAATTATCCATATAGATCAAAATACATCTATATTATACCATAATTTAACATTTAGTTCATTTTAATAAAATCTACCAATAGTGCCTATATAAACAAACAAGAAATTTGTAGTTACCATCAATTCATTATAATCCTCCAAAAATATATATGAAATTCATAAACATCTAATAGTAAATCTAGTGTCTTCCAAATAAATCCATCATCTTCAAATAATAACATCCAACAATAAAAAGTTAGTGTCATTTACTTGATTATAATCTATTCATTTGCAGGCAATACAAAAATAAGCAATCATAATGAATGTAGTTAATCACTTCAATAGATCATACCAACCAAGTTAGATGATCCAAGGAGTTTCTCCATTCCATGTTTAATTGATCTTTTATTTTTTAATGAGGCTTTATGTGATTTAGGATCAAGTATAAACCTAATGCCTATGAACATTTTTGTGTAGCTTAGAGCTAAGACGTTGAGATCTCTAACTTTCATAATAGGTTTGCTGATCAATCTGTAAAGTAGCCTCAAGGAATCATGAAAAATGTTTTGGTAAAAGTGGGAAAATATGCTTTCTTGATTGATTTTGTAGTTTTAGACATAGTTGATAATGAAGCCCCTTTCCTACTAGGTAGAGCCTTTTTAATAACCTTAAGAGTTTTAATAAATGTTTACAACTTTTAGGTGACCATAAAATTTAAAGATAAAAAATAACTTTTAAGAATAGTGGACAATTCTTAGGGAAGAAAAAGATAAGGTGGTTTTAGCTTAGAAGAAAGAAAAAAAAATCAACTTATAAGGAGCCTGTCGTAACGTCTAGATCCGGGGATCTATCGCTAGACATTGATTTTCAGGGAGTCGCCACCAATCTTTTTTATCTAGGTGCGATTGGCCACCTAAGGAATCTGCACTTTTAGGGAACACCTAAGCTTAAGGGTCCCTAAAAGAATAGGTTCGGGTCTGCTTAACCAGAACAGAGTTCGGGAGTTCGGTTACGTGTGAGGAAGGTTATAGCACCCTCACAACGCCCATCAAAAGATGGTACCAGCTTGAATTTGTGTTATCCAAAAGCCTTAAAATTTTACCAAGTAGTTAGTTGTTGAAAATTATTCTCAATTGACTCTAATACTTTTAGCAGAAAATTGAGAAAATTCCCTCACCTCAAGAGTATGCAAGAAAAACTACTGTTTCACTTGCAGAGGCTCCGTCGTCGGATTATTTAAAAAAAATCAAGATCAACCAATTAATTAATTATCGAAAATTATTCTCAATTGACTCTAATACTTTTAGCAGAAAATTGAGAAAATTCCCTCACCTCAGGAGTATGCAAGAAAAACTACTGTTTCACTTGCAGAGGCTCCGTCGTCGGATTAATTAAAGAAAAAAAAAAATCAAAATCAGCCAAGTAATTAATTATCGGAAATTATTCTCAATTGACTCTAATACTTTTAGCAGAAAATTGAGAAAATTCCCTCACCTCAGGAGTATGCAAGAAAAACTACTGTTTTTACTTGTAGAGGCTCCGTCGTCGGATTATTTAAAGAAAAATCAAGATAAAAATCAAAGTCAAATAAAAAAAATTCAAAAAAAAAAAAAAAAAAAAAAAAAAACCTGGAGCGGCTCGGCTATCGGCTCGGCTCGGCTCGGCTCAAGGAAGAAAAAACGGCTCGGAGGAGCGGCTTGGAAGCTCGGCTCGGCTCGGCTTGGCTCGGAGGGAGGCTGGCACGCGCGGGTCAGAAGCGGGTCGACGCTCGGGTCGGGTCGGGTCACGGCAAAACGCGCGGATCCTCTGGTTACTTAAGGCCAAAACGACGTCGTTTTTGGAGGGTATTTAAGGCACTCTCCTCTGTTTTTCGGCAGAACGCTCCTCCCCTCTCTCTCTCTTCCTTCCCTTTTCTCTCCCTTCTCTCTAGAAAACCGAAGAACACCGGTGCCGGATTCTGGAAATGTCGTCGGAATCTGGAATTTTTGCCGGAATATGGCCGGAATCTTCGCCGGTTTCTGGAATCTCGCCGGAAACTGGGTTGGTCACCGGAATCTTCAAGTTCGCCGGAAATTTGTGCCGAAAAATTCAAATGTCGCCGGAATTTTCGCCGGAATCTGGAAATTTCCCAGAAATTTCCAGAAAAAATTTTCGCAAAAAAAATTTCTAAAAATTTTTTCAGATCCCTACAGCTATCCTAACACTTCTCGACCTTCTTTAGCCTTCGAAAACTCTTTTAAACACTTTTTTTCTCTCAAATTCAGTAGCTTTGCTCACTGTTTTTTTTTGTCTCTGAACTGTTCCAGGAGGTGCTTTATATAGGGATTGATCAGGAGTTTCTGATCAATCCCAATTCCTCCTTGGACGGGGATTCAGTCTTTGAATCCAATTGGACTCTTTAGATTGAATCCCCACTCCCAGTAGGATTCTTCAGCTTCAATCTCAACCTTCCAAAAAAAAATCAAATAAATATAAAAAAAATAATAGATAATTAGAACAGATAAATAAAAAGATATTATAAAAAAAAAGAAAAAAAAATATCTGATAATCAGAAAAAAATCAGAACAGATAATTTAAAAATAATAATAATAAAATAAGATAAACCCAAAAATATCTTACAAAAAAAATAATAATAATAATAATAATAATAAATATATAACTATATAAATAATATACATATAAATCTAATCTAAATAAATAAATACAGATATACATATATTAATAATAATAAATATAAAAATACAAAAGAAAAGAAAAAAAAAGGAAAAAAATAATAATAATAATAATAATACATGATTGAATTGGGCCTTACCCATTTGGGCCAGGCCCAAATGATCTGGGTCAGGCCCAATTGATCCGGGTCAGGCCCAATTGATCCGGGCCCGGACCTGATTGGGTGTCTACAGCTGCCCCTCTTTGCACATTTTCTGTGAAACAGAAATTGCGCAAAGACGTAGACACCCAATCAAGACTCAACTCAACATTTTTATTTTTGATTTTTTTTTATTTTTGTTTTTATTTTTTTTGATTTTTTTTGATTTTTTTTTTTTTTTTTTTTTGTTTTTTTGTTTTTTTTTGTTTTTTTTTTTTTTTGTTTTTTTGTTTTTTTTGTTTTTTTTTTGGCCGAAGCTCCTCTAAACAGAGACTCAACGACTTTTGAAAGTAAATTGCTCCTCTAAACAGAGGCAACGGACTTTGGAAAGTAAATTGCTCCTCTAAACAGAGGCAACACGACTTTGGAAAAATAAATTGCTCCTCTAAACAGAGGCAACGGAACTTTGAAAAATAAATTGCTCCTCTAAACAGAGGCACCACGACTTTTGAAAAGTAAATTGCTCCTCTAAACAGAGGCAACGGAACTTTGAAAAATAAATTGCTCCTCTAAACAGAGGCAACGAACTTTGAAAAGTAAATTGCTCCTCTAAACAGAGGCAACGAACTTTGAAAAAATAAATTGCTCCTCTAAACAGAGGCACCACGACTTTGAAAAGTAAATTGCTCCTCTAAACAGAGGCACCACGACTTTGGAAAAATAAATTGCTCCTCTAAACAGAGGCACCACGACTTTGGAAAAATAAATTGCTCCTCTAAACAGAGGCACCACGACTTTTGAAAAGTAAATTGCTCCTCTAAACAGAGGCAACGAAACTTTGAAAAATAAATTGCTCCTCTAAACAGAGGCACCACGACTTTTGAAAAGTAAATTGCTCCTCTAAACAGAGGCAACGGAACTTTGAAAAATAAATTGCTCCTCTAAACAGAGGCAACGAACTTTGAAAAGTAAATACTCCTAGACGATCATGTCCGAAGGAGTTGAAAGTTGTGTTTGAAGGGATTTCAGGAGATTATGCCCAAAGGTCTTATAAATCAACCCGATACCAAGAGACATCCTATTCAAGGATTAGGAACTTACCTGACAAGTTTCTTCTCAAACTTGCAAAGTCTTTTCATATCTGTCTTTTTCCATGTGGGATGTTGGAACACCCCTGCTTCTTGAATTTGTACACTATACTTCTTGAAAGTAGTGTATGCTATGCAAATGCATATAATTTCAATGCATGCTATGCAAATGTTGGTCAATTAATTCCTGTTCAATGTATGGTACTCAAGTTTCTCAAGCTCTTTTTTTCTTGGGTGTCAAGCCCTTTGATTCCTCAAGGATCCAATTGCACTGCTCTTCTAAGATCGAACCAGTGTAGCTCTCAATTGTCTCTTCCACTCACATTCTTCTTGTAAGAAATCTCTTCCTAGATTCAATTTCCTAATTAGGAACTGAACATGTCGATTCTGCCTTTCTCACTCTTGACTCATTCAATGTAATGTAAAAATCTTTCCTGTGGTTATTCATTCATCAATCATTATTTCAAATTCAAAAAGTAAGAATGCATTTGCACATTTCTTCAATGGTAGGGTATTAAGAAGAAAAGAATCTGAATGTTGAGAAACAGTCATAAGAAAAAAGACACAAAGAATGGAATAGAATGTCTCTTATTAGCAAAATGTTGGCAAACTTTGGTCAAGAAAGAATTACAAGGATAGGTATGGGGACAAAGCCCAAAATGAACAATCAGATAATCATGATAACACATCTCAAAGTCTTTTATGAAAACTCAACCCTCTGATGTATTTAACAACTTGGAACTCTTCCGAACTTGCTAGCCCCTATATCAGCAGACTTTTAAATTCGATGCCGTATCCTCCTTATCTAAGCTGCCTTTTCAGGTTTTCAACTTAGACAACCCCCTATGACTCAAACCGCCCTTTTTGGGTTTTCGCCTTGAGTCCTCCTTTTTCATTCACTTTTTCTTTTTTTCCATTTTTTCCATTTTTTTTCATTTTTCATCATTTTTCATTTTTTCCATTTTTTCATTTTTTATATTTTTATATTTTTTTGTATTTTTTTTCAAGCATAGTATTTCTTCACAGCATCAGAATTTACAGGATGGGGTAAATCGTTTCCATCCATCTCAGTCAGTATCAATGCTCCACCCGAAAAAGCCCGTTTCACCACATACGGCCCTTCCCAATTCGGAGTCCATTTTCCTCTACTATCGTGCTGGATTGGGAGAATTCTTTTCAAAACCAACTCTCCTTCTCGAAAGCAACGAGGCCGAGTCTTCTTATCATGAGCCCTCATCATTCTTCTTTGGTATAACTGACCATGGCACAGTGCAGTCAATCTCTTTTCTTCTATGAAATTTAACTGCTCATAACGTTCTCGAATCCATTCAGCCTCTTCCAACTCAACTTCTTTTAAGACTCTCAAAGAGGGGATCTCTACTTCCACTGGTAGTACAGCTTCCATCCCATAAACCAAAGAAAATGGGGTTGCCCCAGTAGAGGTGCGAACTGACGTTCGATATGCAAGCAAGGCAAATGGCAACTTCTCATGCCAATCTTTGTAAGTCTCGGTCATCTTCTCCAGAATCCTCTTTATGTTCTTATTGGCTGCCTCAACTGCTCCATTCATTTTCGGACGATAAGGTGCCGAGTTATGATGCTTGATCTTGTATTGAGCACATATTTCTTGCATCATCTTACTATTTAGATTCTTGGCATTGTCTGAAATAATTCTCTCCGGAAGTCCATATCTACAAATGATCTCTTTCTTTATGAACTTGCAAACCACGGAGCGTGTCACATTTGCATATGATGCTGCTTCCACCCACTTTGTGAAGTAATCTATCATCACAAAAATGAATCTGTGCCGGTTAGAAGCTTTTGGAGTGATTGGACCAATGACATCCATGCCCCACATTGAAAATGGCCATGATGGTGCCATAACATGTAAAGCAGATGGTGGAGCAAGGATCTTATCAGCATATATCTGGCATTTATGACATTTACGAGCATAGTCGATGCAATCATTCTCCATCGTCAACCAGTAATATCCCGCTCTCATGATCTGTCTTGCCATCATATGTCCACTAGCATGTGCCCCACATATTCCCTCATGCACCTCTTTAATGATTTTCTTCGCTTCAGTCTCATCTACACACCTCAATAATACTTGATCTTTACTTCTTTTGTACAGGACATCCCCATCCAGGAAAAAGCTCATAGCCAATCTTCGGATGACCCTTTTATCATTTTCTGTTGCATGAACTGGATACTGCTGATCCTTGACATACTGTAAGATGTCATAATACCAGGGTTTTCCATCTCTTTCCCCTCTACATTAGAACAATACGCTGGTATATCCTTAACATCTAACTTGATGGGCTGAATGTCCGTATTATGATTAATTCGAATCATCGCGGCCAGAGTAGCCAATGCATCAGCAATCACATTCTCTTCCCGGGGTAAGTGATCGAACTGGACATCTTCAAATTGTTTTGTCAGCTCTAGAATATACTTATGATACGGAACGAGTTTTGAATCTCTCGTCTCCCATTCTCCTTTCAACTGGTATATGACTAGAGCTGAGTCTCCAAATACTTTCAGTACTTTCACTCTTCTTTCTATAGCAGCTTGCAGGCCCATGACACATGCCTCATACTCAGCGATGTTATTTGTGCAATTAAAATTTAACCTCGCTGTTACAGGATAGTATTGTTCTTCTGGAGAAATCAAAATTGCCCCAATTCCATGCCCCAAGGCGTTAGCAGCTCCATCAAAGTACATTCTCCAACATCTTTCCATATGCTCCCTTTCCTCCAGTCGGGAAATAGTCATTAAGTCTTCGTCAGGGAATTCCAGCTTCATCGGCTCATACTCTTCAGTAGCACGATCTGCAAGAAATTCTGCTATAGCGCCTCCTTTTATTGCTTTTTGGCTCACATATATAATGTCATATTCTGAGAGCATTACTTGCCATCTAGCGATTCTTCCTGACAAAGAAGGCTTCTCGAAGATATACTTAATTGGATCCAATTTTGCTATGAGCCACGTAGTGTGATAAAGCATATACTGTCTGAGTCTTTTGGCAGTCCACGCTAATGCACAACACATTTTCTCCAATGAAGAATACTTGGATTCATATTCCGTGAACTTTTTACTCAGATAGTAAGTAGCTCTCTCCTTTCGGCTAGCTTCATCTTGCTGCCCCAGCACACATCCCATTGAATTTTCATTTACAGTTAGGTACAGAATTAAAGGTCTTCCTGGAACAGGTGGCACCAATATTGGAGGGTTCGATAAATACTGCTTAATTTTATCAAATGCCTCTTGACATTCTTCGTTCCATTTCCCAGGATTATTCTTACGGAGAAGCTTAAATATGGGATCACATTTGTAAGTAAGCTGAGAGATAAACCGAGAGATGTAGTTCAATCTCCCCAGAAAACCTCGAACTTCTCTTGGCGTGCTGGGAGGTGACAAATTTTGGATGGCCTGTATCTTATCGGGATCAACTTCAATTCCTCTTTCACTGACCACAAAGCCTAGCAACTTCCCTGACTTTACCCCAAAGGTGCACTTGGCTGGGTTTAATTTGAGCTGAAATTTCCTTAACCTCTCAAATAACTTTCTGAGGCTAGTAACATGATCTTCACCCTCACAAGACTTTGCAATCATATCGTCTACATACACCTCAATCTCTTTATGCATCATGTCATGAAAGAGTGTTACCATAGCCCTTTGATATGTTGCCCCAGCATTCTTTAACCCAAAAGGCATGACTTTGTAGCAGAAAGTTCCCCACATGGTCACAAAAGTAGTCTTTTCCATATCATCTGCAGCCATTTTTATCTGATTATACCCCGAGAAACCATCCATAAAGGAGAAAATCGAATGCTTAGCTGTGTTATCTACCAGTGTGTCGATATGAGGTAAAGGAAAGTTATCCTTTGGGCTAGCCTTATTCAAATCCCGATAGTCTACACACATTCGTACTTTTCCATCTTTCTTAGGAACTGGGACTATATTGGCTACCCATTCTGGATACTTGGCCACTTGCAGAAAACCTGCATCAAATTGTTTCTTCACCTCCTCTTTAATCTTTAGCAGCATTTCGGGCTTCATCCGTCTCAGTTTCTGCTGAACGGGCTTACATTCTGACTTTAGGGGCAATCTGTGCTCCACTATCTCTGTGCTCAGTCCTGGCATATCCTGGTAAGACCAAGCGAATATATCTATAAATTCTTGAAGTAGGTCTGCCAACCGTCGCCTATCTCCAGATGGAAGTGAAGTGCCCATTCTAACCTCTTTCTTATTTTCTTCATCTCCCAGATTCACTAAGTCCACTACCTCCTGATAAGGCTCAATTGGCTTATTCTCTTGTTCAATGATCCTCATTAGGTCCGGAGACATAACATATTCTTCAAAATTCTCTTCATTGTCAAGTTCATCAGTATTAATTGAATTCTCAAAGTTAACCTCTTGATGGTTATCATGATTATCTTCTTGTTCATTTAAAGACCTGAAATTGAATGAAATGGGATATGTTGGCAAGATGTGTTTGAAAGGTGAAAATAATGAAGGCATGAGAAGAAATAAATGTAAATGCATCCTCCCTATTTTTTATTAAAAATAATAAATGATGAATGGCCCAAACAGAAAGGATCACCCCATAGCCTTGGGCAAAAGCTATTGAGATGTTACAATTACATTGAATCAAAATCAAAAGTCAGAGGCATTTCAATGGCACTCCAATTGTTCAGCTCATAGTCTTGTGGACAAAGGCGAACCCATTCTTCTTTGTTGAGCCCCACTTCATCTTCAACAGCATTAATGGCTAACTGGGCAAAGTCCTCTTCCACACTTTTCTTTGCATCTGGGTTCATAAATCCTCCAGGTCTGAAGGTTTCGTACAATTGTGGGATAAACATCAGTCTTGCTGTCTTTCTTGATGGCCTTCTTTTGACTTCCCACTCTGCCATCTCGTATCCTAAGCCTGCCCTGTCGCTATTGTCCGCTATTGTCGGAGGTTCTTTAATTCCCTGCAAATTTTTGCCTAGCCCAAGTCCTGGACACCAGCCTTTGTTGATGACTTGGCTCACCACTATCTTTGAAAAAGGCTGACTTTGAAATCCTTCACCTACAGTATTGACCAATTCAAAAGATCGATAGGAGCACTCCAATGCTTCTTCGGCAGCCTCTACATATGGAGTGTTCAATGGTTGGGTCACTAGCATGTCTTCCTCCCCAACTACCACTACTAATTGACCTTTCACATTGAATTTGATCTTTTGATGCAAAGTAGAGGGTACAGCTCCTGCCATGTGAATCCATGGCCTTCCTAACAGACAGCTGTAGGATGGAGAGATATCCATCACTTGAAATGTTATATTGAAGGTGCACGGCCCAATTTGTAAGGGCATCTCAATATCCCCCAGGACTTCTTTTCTGGTTCCATCAAAGGCTCTCACAATCATCTGACTATCTCGCATATGAGAATAATCGATGGGTAGCCTTGCCAAAGTTGACATAGGCATGACATTGATGGCAGAACCATTATCGATAAGGACTTTAGCTATGATATGGCTCTGGCACTTTACTGTGATATGCAAGGCCTTAGCATTTCTCTTTCCCTCCAAAGAAATCTCATCATCACTGAATGAAATGTGATTTGGCATGACTAAGTTTCCAGCCAAGTGATTCACATATTCGACAGACACGTTATGTGCCACGTATGCCTGATTCAACACTTTCAGCAAGGCATTTCGATGTGGCTCTGAATTCAGCAACAGTGATAACAATGAGATTCGAGCTGGCATTTTATTCAACTGTTCCACAACTGAATATTCACTATGTTTTACCAGCTTCAGGAATTCACAAACCTCCCTTTCTGATACTGGCTTTGGCTGATCTTCTTCAGGCTCTATCTCTGGATTATTTCGTCTTTCTCCTTCTTTAGCCTTCTCTCTTCTAGCCTTCTCTAGCATTTCTGGGGTGTAACATCTCCCACTTCGAGTAATGCCTCCTACACCAGTAATGTTAGAAGCATCGGCTTTGGAGACCTCTTCTTTTTGCCCCTGCACTACAGCGTCACATCCATATCTCCAGGGTACAGCTTTATCATCTTTGTATGGGAAAGGAGTTGGGACTTTAAAAGTTACCGGCCTAGGGAGGAGCTTGTCTATGACTGATTTTGGTTTGTTTCCACACCGAATTGTCACTGGTTTGGGAAACAGCTTTTCAGGCCTATCATTCATGCACACCTCAGCATTCTTCAAGCTTTCTTTTTCTTCGTAGACCTCTATCTGATGTGAATTCAGGAGTTTTTGCACCTCTCGGTGAAATTGTTTACAGGTCTCAATGGAGTGGCCTCTTGCCCCACTATGATACTTACAACTAGTACCAGCTATATATGCTCCATGATAGCTGTGTGGACTTACCAGTTGCATCATGTCTGCCTTTCGTAAGACATCAAACAACTGATCGAGAGGTGTCTTAATATCTACCACTTCTTTCTTCACATGGCGCTCATGCTCTTCACCTATAGCATTCACATTATGATTTGGCAAAGGATTGCCACTAACATTTGGTGCAGTCATCCCTCCAGTATCAAAGCAAATCATTCCATCCTTAATCAATCGTTGCACTTTATATTTCAGGGTAGTGCAATTTTCGGTGGAGTGACCAGCAATCCCATAATGGTAGTCACAGTGGGCAGTGGGATCATACCACTTAGGGTAAGGTGGCTTGAGGGGTTCCAATTTACTTGGAGCAATCAAATGATTGTTGTAGAGCTCCTTGTATAATTCCGTATAGGTCATGGGAATAGGGTCAAAAATAGGTCTTTCGCGAGTGGTTCGTTGCTCCCGCGAGCCACCAGCAGGGTTAGTTGGGCGAATTTGTGGTTTTGGGGTGGGTTGAATGTTAGAACTGTACATGGTGTTTTGGGGTCTATGAGAGGTTTGATAGGTTTGGGGGTATGGTGGTTGGTATGGGTGAAAAGAAGTGTTATTTACAGTGGGGTGATAGGGCAGATATTCTGGTGGGGGGTAGGGCGAATAACCCCTAAGTTGCTGTCTATCAAAGCTCACAGCCTGAGCTTCAGTTTCTTTTTTCTTTGGGATTCTTTTGCTAGATGCTTCATTCCCTTCTAGCTTGCCATTCTTGATGGCACTTTCAATGATTTCTCCTGAAATTACCATATCGGCAAAATTCTTTGTTGCATTCCCTATCATCTTTTCATAATAGGGAGGTTTTAAAGTGCTAACAAATAGCACTGTAGTTTCTTTCTCGGTCAGAGGAGGCTGTACCTGAGAAGCAATATCTCTCCACCTCTGGGCATACTCTTTAAAAGATTCGTTTGTCTTTTTCTCCAGATTCTGTAAAGACAAACGATCTGGAGCCAAATCGATGATATGTCGGTATTGACTGATAAAGTCATGCGCCATATCGCTCCAAGAGCGAATGCGAGTCCTGTCCAGTTGAACATACCATCTGGCCGCAGAACCAGTAAGACTGTCTTGAAAAACATGCATCAAGAGTTTCTCATCCTGTGCATGAGCTGCCATCTTCCTGCAATACATGGTGATATGGGTTTTGGGGCACTTTGTACCATCATATTTTTCAAATTTTGGTACCTTGAACTTATGGGGGATAACCACATCAGGAACTAGGCAGAGCCCCGCAGCATCAACTGACCCATAGAAGCTAAATCCTTCCACGGCCCTTAGCCTTTGCTCTAGCATGCTAATCTTGGAACTCTCCTCAGCTTCCACTCTCATCTTTTCTTTCTCCTTCTCTTTTAAATCATCTAGATCAGGAATTGGTTCTACTGCCTTTTCAGTGAAGACAGGATTTATATAACTGTTATACTGCCCTGGGTTGAAAGTTGATGGCATTCCAGGATATGTTGGATATGCGAAATGTTGTGGTGGGACCTCTTGGGCAGACGGAGCTTGAGGCGGGCCAAAACCTGGAGGGTACAAAGGGTCAGCCACTTCTTGCTGGCTTGTACTTCCTTCAACTCCTTTTCCTTTGTTCATGTTATTTAGAGCCTCCAGAATCTTGCTTAGCTCACTTTCAATCTTCTCCTGAGCTTTTTCTAGCTTTTCGAATCTATGAGAATTTTCCTGCTCCATTTGCCTTGCTCTGGATCTTGTGTTGAAACGATGGGCAGGGTTTTCGCTAGATGGAGCTATCCTTGGAACCTTGAGTACCATACCTCAGAATTAGTAACTTTGCATGATTATCACATGGTTAAAGTGTAATGAATGAGAATGCAATGAATGAAAAATGCATGTATGCAGAGAACATTTGCCTTAAAACGGTATTCAACTAAAAAAATTTCATTTATTCCAAAAAACTTTGATCTACATTGAGTTTATCCCTCTAGAATTATAGCCATAAAATTGTTTGATCTGTTCATATTGGGCTTTGGCTTCTTCTATGAAGTTCAACAGACGCTGTCCATGTTCTCCTACTGGGGCCACCACTTGTCTTAATGCTTCTGCCTCTTCCACCATCTCTTTTGCCTTACATACCCCTTTATGGATCTGGGTTGTTAAGTGCTCAATGTATTTCTGCCTCCCTAGGTTCTCTCTTTTACCACACCAGACTTGGTATGATAATTCTCTATGTTCTCTAACCAATGCAGCAATGTGGTCTCCTTGTTCATCCAACCTTTGACTTAGCCCGCTCAAATAACTGTTTAGCATGTTAATTTCTGCCTGTGCTTCAGTACTTTCTTCTTCTAATTCGGCATACTCTTGCTTCAGTCTTGTGTTTTCCTCAGTCAGCTCGACAATGGTTATCCCTTTGGCCCTTTCTCTCACACATAGCCTCTTATGCTCCTGGTGTAACCTTGCTAGATCTTCAGTAGCTGCATCACGTTCTCTAGCAATCTTATGAACTTTAACTTCATAATTTTCAGCTCTACCTTTCCACTGGGCTTTTTCTTCTTGAAGTTCTTGAATCTCTTTCTTTAACTTGATCTTTTCAAATTCAAACTCTTTTGTTGCCAGCTCTAACTCTGATGGTATCTCTTCAAGCTTTTCTTCTGTCGGTGGTTGAGAGACTTCATAAGTGAATACCATTTCCTGTCTTCTCTTTGTTCTCCAAACCAAGTAACCTGGAGTGACTTTTTCAGTGAATGGTCCAGGACTCACTCTTTGGGGATTTTTCCATGCTTTGATCATCCCATTCATCCTCTGAAATGCTTTAGGCTCACTATAAGAGAAATCTAACTGATGAAGCCCATAAGTCATAGGAATAAACTGTTCTCCCCCTAATTGTCTCCTCACTAAGAGCGGTGCATAATTCGTCACTCCCCATAAACCCAGAAGTGGAACCACTGTACTATCTCCACATTGGTATAACATAGGCTCTCGATTCATCCATGGGACTAACCATCTCACTCTGGCACCTTCCAACTTTTGCAAGAAAGTTATCCATTCTTGTTTAGACTTCTGCTTTGACCACCCACTTTCACAGAACTCTTTGATCGGAAAGCGATTACGGATATAAATCTTCGAGAAAGCACCATTTCCATGTTCGAAATGGCTTTTCATCCACACATACAATAACTGTATGCATCCTATGAAGCGCCCTCCATTCCGACGACAATAACTCAAGGATCTGATAGTCTCTGCTAATATCACCGTTGAGGGATTACAGCCATTGATCACACTCTCGAAGAAATCAACTACCTCTATCTCAATATGTCCCAAAACCTTTGGAAAGATTACCAGTCCGTATATAGCCAAGGCAAATATGTCCAACCCCCGTTCTTCATTGGCATGTTGCATCAGAAACTCATGAAAGAACTTCCAAGGTAGGCAGACCTGTTCCTGTTTCTTCTTTGTATGAGAATCCACAACTTCCTTGTTTATCCCCATGAGTTGAGCCAGACTTTTACGAAATCCTGACTTATGCTTTTTGACATATATCTTGTCAGGAGTCTTGAGATACAAACCCAACAAGACCGAATATTCTTCTATGGTGGGAGTCATATCAACTTCATTAAAGATGAAACACCTGTATGTAGGATCCCAGAATTGTGTTGCAGCTCTAATTAGTTGGTCATCAACAGCCACTGCTAGAAGGTGTGCTATATGCCCATGTTTCTGACAAAACTGCTCTTGTCTTGACGGACTCATCTTCTTCCAGATGTCAACCAAATCTTCTAAATTATTCTGTTTGAGGAGGATAGATGTTTCTTGAGACAGAGTAGACTCATACCCAATTGGCAAGCAATCTCCCATCTTCAGTTGGGTCTTTTCTGACAAGGCCCTTACCTCATTAGGTGTCCCACAGGGTGCTAATACTGATGAAGAACAAACTAGGCGTTCATTGGTGTCCATGAAAAAAAATTTGTTGAAGACCGTTTTTCAGGCAAATGTTCTTTATGCAACTTTATGATGTGCACATGAACCAATGCAAAAGAAAAAAAAAAGGTTAGTATACCCAGAAAAAGAATAAATAACTAAATAAATTTAAACATCACACAAAGTAAAAAGGATGAATCCTATGCTTTTGGTCAATTCTAACAGGGAAGGGTGATGGCTCTATCTATGGGTTAGGCACTCTTAAAGTTCACTATATGCGGTTTTAGGGTCAAAGTCTAAAGGTCCTCAAATTGTTCCTTACATCCTTGTCCATCACAGACTAGTAAGGCACCCTAATCCTCACCCATTACAGGCTACAAGCGGAAAAGGTTCAATTTGAGTGGGAGTATTTCGCTAGCCACTGCGGAGGCATTAGACCTCACGAAAGCAATAGGTACTTTACTCCCTCCTAAAGGGACGGAGCTCGGGTGTAGAGCTCATGTTATGCACATGCATATGAATGACATAATTAACAGACATGAATGAATAATAATACATATATACAAAAAGGTTCAATTTTATTAGGCTTTTGGATAACACAAATTATTTGCTGGCCTGACTCTCAGGGTCCCCAGCGGAGTCGCCAAGCTGTCGTAACGTCTAGATCCGGGGATCTATCGCTAGACATTGATTTTCAGGGAGTCGCCACCAATCTTTTTTATCTAGGTGCGATTGGCCACCTAAGGAATCTGCCCTTTTAGGGAACACCTAAGCTTAAGGGTCCCTAAAAGAATAGGTTCGGGTCTGCTTAACCAGAACAGAGTTCGGGAGTTCGGTTACGTGTGAGGAAGGTTATAGCACCCTCACAACGCCCATCAAAAGATGGTACCAGCTTGAATTTGTGTTATCCAAAAGCCTTAAAATTTTACCAAGTAGTTAGTTGTTGAAAATTATTCTCAATTGACTCTAATACTTTTAGCAGAAAATTGAGAAAATTCCCTCACCTCAAGAGTATGCAAGAAAAACTACTGTTTCACTTGCAGAGGCTCCGTCGTCGGATTATTTAAAGAAAAATCAAGATCAACCAATTAATTAATTATCGAAAATTATTCTCAATTGACTCTAATACTTTTAGCAGAAAATTGAGAAAATTCCTCACCTCAGGAGTATGCAAGAAAAACTACTGTTTCACTTGCAGAGGCTCCGTCGTCGGATTAATTAAAGAAAAAAAAAATCAAAATCAGCCAAGTAATTAATTATCGGAAATTATTCTCAATTGACTCTAATACTTTTAGCAGAAAATTGAGAAAATTCCCTCACCTCAGGAGTATGCAAGAAAAACTACTGTTTTTACTTGTAGAGGCTCCGTCGTCGGATTTAATTTAAAGAAAAAAGAAAAAAAATCAAGATCAAAATCAAAGTCAAATAAAAAAATTCAAAAAATTCAAAAAAAAAAAAAAAAAACCTGGAGCGGCTCGGCTATCGGCTCGGCTCGGCTCGGCTCAAGGAAGAAAAAAACGGCTCGGAGGAGCGGCTTGGAAGCTCGGCTCGGCTCGGCTGGCTCGGAGGGAGGCTGGCACGCGCGGGTCAGAAGCGGGTCGACGCTCGGGTCGGGTCGGGTCACGGCAAAACGCGCGGATCCTCTGGTTACTTAAGGCCAAAACGACGTCGTTTTTGGAGGGTATTTAAGGCACTCTCCTCTGTTTTTCGGCAGAACGCTCCTCCCTCTCTCTCTCTTCCTTCCCTTTTCTCTCCCTTCTCTCTAGAAAACCGAAGAACACCGGTGCCGGATTCTGGAAATGTCGCCGGAATCTGGAATTTTTGCCGGAATATGGCCGGAATCTTCGCCGGTTTCTGGGAATCTCGCCGGAAACTGGGTTGGTCACCGGAATCTTCAAGTTTCGCCGGAATTTGTGCCGAAAAATTCAAATGTCGCCGGAATTTTCGCCGGAATCTGGAAATTTCCCAGAAATTTCCAGAAAAAATTTTCGCAAAAAAAATTTCTAAAAATTTTTTCAGATCCCTACAGCTATCCTAACACTTCTCGACCTTCTTTAGCCTTCGAAAACTCTTTTAAACACTTTTTTTCTCTCAAATTCAGTAGCTTTGCTCACTGTTTTTTTTTGTCTCTGAACTGTTCCAGGAGGTGCTTTATATAGGGATTGATCAGGAGTTTCTGATCAATCCCAACTCCTCCTTGGACGGGGATTCAGTCTTTGAATCCAATTGGACTCTTTAGATTGAATCCCCACTCCCAGTAGGATTCTTCAGCTTCAATCTCAACCTTCCAAAAAAAATCAAATAAATATAAAAAAAATAATAGATAATTAGAACAGATAAATAAAAAGATATTATAAAAAAAAAAAAAAAAATATCTGATAATCAGAAAAAAATCAGAACAGATAATTTAAAAAAAATAATAATAAAATAAGATAAACCCAAAAATATCTTACAAAAATAATAATAATAATAATAATAATAATAAATATATAACTATATAAATAATATACATATAAATCTAATCTAAATAAATAAATACAGATATACATATATTAATAATAATAAATATAAAAATACAAAAGAAAAGAAAAAAAAAGGAAAAAAATAATAATAATAATAATACATGATTGAATTGGGCCTTACCCATTTGGGCCAGGCCCAAATGATCTGGGTCAGGCCCAATTGATCCGGGTCAGGCCCAATTGATCCGGGCCCGGACCTGATTGGGTGTCTACAGAGCCCATAAGTCTAACCTCAAAAACTCCAAAACCCCACTTGGCAAGTCCAAAAAGCTCGATTCCAACAACTTATCCTATCTATATAATACTTATTAGGAGGAAAAACCTAATTGTCAAAACTAGTTCTGTCTATGTATTCTAGTAAGAGAAAACAACAAGGGAAAATCCCACCAAAAAAGAAGTGGTAGTCGTTAGATTTCTTAAGTATGGTCCAACTTAACCAAAACTAACTCTACTTGGGAGGCAACCCAAGTTTTACATTTTCATGTTGATGTTTTATATTTTTCTATAATTTTTTTAATTCTTAGGACATGTATGTTTTAATCCTGTTTGCTTTTTTTTTGTTTTTGTTTTAGGAATAAGGATGAAGCAAGGATGTTTCAAGGAGCCCAAACCATTCAACTTTAAAAGAAATAGATGTTAGGGAGTTTGCCTTTACTCTAACTTTTTAACTGTTTTAATTAAAATATTATGCAATTCAAGTGTGGGGAAGGAAAATGTTTTATGCTAAACATGTTTTAAAAATCATTTTAAGAGTACCCTAAAAATCTTTGTTTTCAAACCAAGTTAGCATTGCCTTCAATCATGATAATGCAATCTTAGTTAAGTTTTAACAAGTTAATCATGAGTGACTTATGTATAATCTTAGGACATGTATGAATGTAGTGAAAACATGAAATTAAGTCTTAAGTGTGTTATTCTTTTGATTTTTAATTTTTATGCATATGCATCTTAATCTTGATTTTGAAATGCATCAATTTGTGTGAAAAGTCATGTAAGTATAAAGTTGTATAAAGATTTAAGGCATGAGAATAGCTTCAAAATTTGCCTATTCAACCTTCATGGCAAAATCCTAAGCTATACTTGATTTAAGAAATAATTTAGGCCATCATTGGATTGTTTGAGCCTTTTCAAGCTACCTATAATAAATAATCCATAATACATTTACTTTGAGCCTTTATATTTCCTTTTTCTTGTTTATTGACCACAATAAATAAGCCCAAGCCTTTTATTATGAATTTTCTCTCTTTCCTTACCCAATCTACCTTGTTTATGCATGTTAGAGACAAGAGAAGAGAACAAATTATATTTGGGATGAAACGAGGCACATGGCAAAGGAAAAGCCAAAATGGCCAAAGAAAAAAAAAAGAAAAAGTTGAATATGGCTATGTGAAAAAAAAATCAAAATAAAGATGCCTCTACTTTGTAAAGTCTTAAAAGTTCTCAAGTCCAAGTTCTAAAAAGTAAGCAAAGGGTTCTAAGCCTAAAAATATTCTTTTTCCTACCTTAACTCAAATATTACATTACAAGCTAATAAATATCTAGATTAGTGGAGAAGGAATGAAGAAAGTAAACATACAAAGTATGCTCTATCTTTAAATTGATATGTGATAACATATTTTACATACTTTTTACTTAAATTGCATGTATAGATAAAAAGATAGATTAACTTCACATACATGAAAATTGCATGAAAATTGAAAGTTTATTTCTAAATTAGTTTTATGTCTAACTATGTTCATAATTATCTTGACATTATACTATAGTGCATAATTGATAAAATATGAAGCATTGACTTTATGTGTATCTATTTTGACTGTTAGCCTTGTTAATTTAAAGATTTTTCTTGAGGACAAGCAAAAAGCTAAGTGTGAAAGTGTGATTACTATTAAATTTATAACTTTTCTTAGGCCATCTTTGCCTTTAAATTTTGAAAAATTTCATGAATTTTGTGCCTTAATGTGTTAAAATCTTGACTTTCAAGTTTGCATGAAGAAATAAATAAACTTGGATATAAATGTTAAAATCCATGCAAACCATGCATAGGTGACAAGAAGAAGCCATGCATGAACCATGCACTTCATGCAAAGTTGGTGGATAACATTCGGTCAAGCCTTGAAAGAGTCAACCAAAAGCCCATTCGATTATGTATGCAAGAAAGGTTAATATATGTAAAGGTGGTAACTTTGGTAGCCTATGTATAGCTAAACCAAGAAGCCCAATGCATGCAAATGATATATTCAGCCAAAGAAGAATTAATGTGCTTGAGGATTCTTGTAAATTCAAAAAAGTTCTAAGTCAAATGAAAGAATTAATAGATCTTGGATTTAAATTCAAAACCAACTGAGTCTCTTATTTAAAATTCAAAAAAACTTTGACTTGGCAATGCACTAATAATTTTTTTTTATAGAATTATCATGAACTTATTTGATTAATTGTGACACTTACTTGGTTAATTTTGCTTGTTTTTTAGCAAATTAATTTAATTATCCACCTAATTGTATTTAATTATCACAT